AAGGGTATAATTACAAATACTGTAATGTCCATGGGTCAAAATATTTAATTCTTTGCAAGTGTGAAGGAGAAGGAAACTGAAGTAAGAGAAGTAGGATAGGCTGAGGGTTTTGGAGTCTACAAATCTCTGAATTCAAATCTCAGTTCAACTCCCAGCTCTACCACTGTGTGGCTGTGAGCCTTTGGGCAAGAAAGTCTCCTCTCTGAGCCTCACTTTGCCTATCTGTAGAAATAGGAATAATAATCAAACATCTCCCTAGCACGTTTTACCACTTCTATCAGCCAATGGGAGCCCCAATGGCTTTCTTGATGAGAATAATAGATTGGTGCAAAAGTAATCGCGGTTTTTGCCATCAAAAGTAATGCCAAAAACCCGCGATTACTTCTGCACCAACCTAATACACGGTGCAGGGACCAAGTGTTGGGGGACAGGCCCCCCAAAATCTGGCCATAAACTGGTCCCAAAACTTGCCATAAACAAAATCTCTGCAGCACTGTGACATGTTCGTGATGGCCATGGCGCCCACACTGTAAGGTTGTGGGTTTACTGGAATGAGGGCAAGGAACACCTGGCCCACCCAGGGCAGAAAACTGCTTAAAGTGGTTCTTAAACCACAAACAATAGCATGAGCAATCTGTGCCTTAAGGACACGCTCCTGCTGCATATAACTAGCCCAACCCAGCCCTTTATTTCGGCCCATTCCTTTGTTTCCCATAAGGAATACTTTTAGTTAATCTATAGAAACAATGCTTATCTCTGGCTTGCTGTTAATAAATACGTGGGTAAATCTCTGTTTGAGGCTCTCAGCTCTGAAGGCTGTGAGACCCCTGATTTCCCACTTCACACCTCTATATTTCTCTGTGTGTGTGTCTTCAATTCCTCCAGTGCCCCGACCAAGCTGGTCTCGGCACCAAGGACCTTATTTCTGATGGGGAAATTGAGGCCTGGAGGAGAAAAACTTCACTAAGTTCCCAGAGTTCAGTAGGAAGCTTTATAGTTTAAAAGTTAAGAGCGTTTATCTTGAAATCAGACTGATCTAAGATCAAGCGCTGGTCCTACCACTTCCTGGCTGTGTGACCTCGGACAAGTTACTTAAGCTCTATGAGCCTTGGCTTCCTAATCTGTATTAGGGGACATTAATAATACCTACTGCAAAGATGATTGTGAGGATGGAATTAATGAAACCAGACAGTTTCAGGGCTCAATCCGTAAAGCCTAGTCCTGCTACTCACTGGCTGTGCAAATTTGGGCAAGTGGCTTAGTCTCTCTGAGCCTCAATTTTCTCTTTTATAAAATGGAATGATCAATAAATACAATACTTCCCTCTTGAATATGTTGGGAGGATGAAAAAAGGATGAGTATGGACAGTACCTGATTCGTGTCAAGCTCTCATACTATCTAAATGTTAGGAATTCTTTCTTATTTATAAGGACACACCCAGGTCTTGAATTCATGCATTTATTCAACAAATGTTGACTGAGGTCTATTATGGGCTGAACTGTGTCCATAAAAGATATTCCAAAGTCCTAACCCCCAGCACCTCAGAATGTGACCTTCTATGTGGAAATAGGGTCTTTGCAGAAGGAATCAATTTAAAACAAAGTCATCAGGGTGAAGTTACCTAATGAAGTCACCTAAACCAACATGACTGGTATCCTTATAAAAGCATAAATTCAGACACAGAATCAGCCACGCACTAAGGGAAGATGACGTGAAGATACAGGGAGAAGATGGCCACGTAATTAAAGTGATACAACTCTCACCCAAGGAACACCAACGATTACCAGCAAACACAAAAGACTGGGAGAGACAAGGAAGGACCCTCACCTAGGACCCCTGGAGCAGGCATGACCCTGCTGACACCTTGATGGCAGACTTCCAGCCTCCAGAATTACACAATAAACTTCTGGGGGGGGTTTGGACATTTTTATGGTAAAATACTGCATAACATAAAATTAGCCATTTTAACCATTTTTAAGAGTACAGTTCAGTAGCATTGTTATGGGACCATCACCACTATCCATCCCCAGCTTTTTCATCATCCTAAACAGAAACCCCGTACCCATTAAACAACAACTCCCCATTCCCCCATCCTCTGAGCCCCTGGCAACCTCTATTCTGCTTCCAGTCTCCATGAATTTGCCTACCCTAGGTAACTTATATAAGTGGAATCATATAATATTTGTCCTTTTGTGTCTGGTTTATTTCACTTTGCATAACATTTTCAAGCCTCATCATGTTGGAGTCAGAATTTCCTTTCTTTTTAAGGCTGAATAATATTCCATTGTATGGATAGACCACATAGTGTTTATCCATTCATCCGTTGATGGACATTTGGGTGGCTTCCATCTTTCGGCTATTGTGAATAATGCTGCTATGAACATGGGTGCGTAAATATCTCTTTAATTCCCCGCTTTCAATTCTTTTGGGCACATACGCAGAATTGGAATGGCTGGCTCATATGGTAATTCTATGTTGGATTTTTTTTTTTTTTTTTTGAGACAGCCACACTGTTTTCCATAGTGGCAACACCATTTTATATTCCCAATTTCTGTTGTTTTTAAGCCACTCAGTTTATGACACTTTATTATAGCAGCCCTGGGATTTTTTATTTTTATTTTTATTTTTAGTTATTTATATTTTTTGAGACAGAGTTTCGCTCTTGTTGCTCAGGTTGGAGTGCAACGGCGTGATCTCGGCTTATTGCAACCTCTGCCTCCTAGGTTCAAGTGATTCTCCTGCCTCAGCCTCCCAACTAGCTGGAATTACAGGCATGTACCACCATGGCCTGCTAATTTTGTATTTTTAGTAGAGACGGGGTTTCTCCACGCTGCTCAGGCTGGTCTCGAACTCCCGACCTCAGGTGATCCACCCGACTCGGCCTCCCAAAGTGCTGGGATTACACGCGTGAGCCACTGTGCCTGGCCAGCCCTGGGATTTTAAAACAAGTATCTACTATGCGTCAGGCACTGGGCTCTGGCGATACCATGGTAAACCAGGGGGACAACTTCTTTGCTTTTGTGGTGTTTATCTCCTCATTGGAAAGGCAGAAAATAAATGAGTAACAGAATGTTGGGTGGTGATGAGTGCTGCAAAAGGAACAGCTCAGTTAGGGGGCTAGGGCATGTGTGCGTAGTGTGTGTGCATGTGTATGCATGCATATGTGCATTAAGGAAATGAGAAACAGGGTAAAGCAGGTATACTTGACCCAGTCTCCAAGTCTCAGATTGGATCAAGACACAGCCTGGGCTGCAAGGAAGGTGTGTGCACTAAAGAAACATGAGTAAAGGCCAGGCGCCATGGCTCACGCCTATAATCCCAGCACTTTGGGAAGCCGAGGCGGGCGGATCATCATGAGGGTCAGAGATTGAGATCGCAGTTCTGGATACACAGTGAAACCCGTTTGGCTAAATACCAAAAATTAGCGGGCGTCGGGTTGGTGGGTGCTTAGTCCCCAGCTACTGGAACGCCGGGCTAGAAGAGCTGGTAAACCTGTGGACAGCAGGCGGAGTGGCAGGAGGCCGAGATCGTTGACTGGCATCCGCGCTTGGGACAGGGCGGAGAGGTCGATCTCAAAAAAAAGGCGACGGAACTGGTTAAAGGCTGGGCCACCGTAAGTTGGCGGCACCAGGGCACGTGGTAGGGTCTCGCGCCTCCAATCTAAGGTCCAGTGGTTAAGAAACAGGGTGGGTCGGTACGTGTCATTGCCTGGTAATCCAATTTAGGAGGGCAAGGTGATGGATTGGCCTGAGCTCAGGAGTTCGGGACCACCCCTGGGGCAACCAAGCCAAAACCCTTGTTTCTATAAATTACAAAAAAGAAAATTGGCTGGATCCTGTCGCACGATGTGATCCGCAGGCTACTAGGAGGCTGGACACCGGTACTCCTTGCCCGTGGGACGGGCGAATAGGCAGGTTGCAGTGCCGATGTCTCCAACTGCATCCAGCGTGGTTGTGACAGGTGAGTCGCGTTCAAAAGCAATAAGAGAAGGAGGCCGGGGCCTTGGAAGTAAATGGCGATTCGCTAATTGTCCTTCCCTGCCTGACACCAGCGCCCGCCTGGCCACCGTTGTCGA